ACAAAGCTGGGGCTATAACCATCTGGACAATAGGGGTGAAGAGGTGGAAACATGACAAGATGACCACTCTCTGATCCTGATCAATACCCCCTCAGATACTCCTACCTTCTACTCCAGAAGGTGGCAGACAACGTCAACCCCAGATCTTGCCTTCTCTACCCCAGATATATCTGGAATGATAAGTAGAGAGGTGGGAGACCAGCTGGGGGTCAGTGACCATCGCCCAATTTTTCTTACTGTCCAGAATGTACCAGTTAATACAGGCCAAGTCATCACAAGATGGAACTACAAGAAACCCAACTGGGGCCTGTACAGACACAGGACAAGCACAATGTTGTCTGCTCTCAAGGTACAAAATAGGGATATCAATGCTATAGTGCACGATTTCAATAGAAGTATTCTACAAGCTGCAAAAGAAGCAATCCCCAGAGGCTGTCGACACAACTACAGAACGTACTGGTCCAGCACACTCCAGGAATGACAGGAAACAATGAATCAGGCTAGAAAGGATACAGAATCCCAACCTTCACCTGACAACCACACCAAATGGAAAAAGGCTGTAGCAGTGTTCCAGAGAACTAAACTTGAAGAAAAACGGAAAAGCTGGATAAATAAAACAGCAGTTCTAAACCTTGATAAAGATGGCAAGAAACTCTGGAGATTAGCCAAATCACTCAATGAAGAGAGTTTCTCTCCTAGACAAACAATCACGCTAAGTGATGGTGACAAAATCTTCAGAGGAAAACAAGCCGCAGATTTGTTTGCCAGAACATACAGTGTTGAAAGCAACCTGACCCTTAATGAGGACCATCAGAGAGAAATAAGGAAAGAAATACAAACAAATAAGAGACAGACAGATACTCCTGCCTCTATAAGGGAGTCATTTACCATGGGTGAAATAAAAAATGCCATCTTTAGGCTTAAGTTAAAAAAGTCTGCAGGTCCAGATGAAATCAGCAACGAAATGCTAATAAACCTGAGCTCATCTGCTAAAGTAAAGCTGCTGGAAATTTTCACCATCAGCTGGGAGAAAGGTTTGGTGCCTCAAGTATGGAGAGAAGTCATCACAATACCCATTTTTTTAAAAAAAGGAAAAATTAAGACCCAGGCTTTGAGCTAACGCCCAACTAGTCTCACAAGCTGTGTAAGAAAGACATTGAAAAGAATTGTAAATTTAAGACTGAAATGGCACTTAGAATCTGAGCAGATCTTAGTGCCGGAGCAGGCTGGGTTTAGGGAATGTCACAGCATAGAAGACCAAGTCACCTACCTGTCACAAGCTGTAAAGGATGCCTTCCAAGAGAAGAAAAAGGTCCTGGCGGTATGGGTTGACTTCAAACAAGCTTTTGTCAAAGTCTGGAAAGATGGTCTCATTGCAAAACTGAAGAGAAATGGAATCCAAGGAAACATGCTAAAATGGATCCAATCCTTCTTACACAGCAGGAGAACTAGAGTCAGTCTTGATGGCCAGCAGAGAAGAAAAGTGTTACTTCGGCAAGGAGTACCACAGGGAGGAGTTTTCTCTCCAACTCTCTTTCTTGTGTATATAAATGATCTGGTGAAAGACCTCCCTACAGGAGTAAAAGCTGCCCTGTGTGCAGATGATCTGGCATTCTTATGTACCGATGAACACACCACAGTGGCAAATATAAGAATGCAGCGAGCAGCAGATTTCTTGATGACATGGGCAGAAAAGTGGCATGTTGCCATCAACACAGACAAAAAATCCACAACGCTTTTTCTCTTTCCCCCAGGGACAAAGCTGCTAGTATTCACCTAGGAACATCTTTGCTAAAGGAAGAAAGCTTCCCCACTTATCTTGGAGCAACATTTCATAAAAGGCTCACATGGAGCAAACATATAGAAAATGTAGAAAGGAAGGCCTACTTAGAAAACTGGCAGGTACAGGATGGGGAGCGAATGGAAAAACCCTAAAGAAAGTTTATAATGGAGCGATAAGACCCCACTTGGAGTTTGGTGCAACAGCATGGTCAACAGCTGCTAATTCCCATCTACAATCGTTAGACACAGTGCAAAATCAAGCTCTTAGACTCATCACAGGATCCATGAAAACTGCACCAATCCTGAAGATGCAGAAAATAACTGCAATGCAGACACTGTCCTATAGAAGAGACACAAAAACTATGATCCAGATGGAGAAGTTTAATATTATGCAGTCACACCCAATGAATGAAAGGTTAGATGATCTGGCATTAGGGCGTCTCAAACGCAGCAGCTTTGTCCATCGGGGGAAAAGACTTAGAAGACAGTATCAAGCTGATCTACCTATTAGAACAACACCGCTAAAACCTACCCTATACACTGTACATTGGTAGCAAGTCAGTGATACAATACAGATAATGACTTCAGTCAATGGATTCACAACTGGAGATGAGTTTAATAATCTTCAAAAACGAACAGCTGCTCTTAGCACGATTCATGAAAACTATCCCGAACAGTCATGGATACATGTTTACACAGATGGATCAGCAACCAGTGCGGTTAAAAATGGGGGTACTGGAGTCTTTATTACATACCCAGGCAACCACCGCCACACAAAGTGGATACCCACTGGTAAATTCTGTTCCAACTACACAGCAGAGATTGTAGAACTAGAGCAGGCTGCCGAAGTGTTACACAACACCAGTTCTGACTGCCACCAAGTGGTCATATTCACAGATGCGCTATCAGTGCTTCAAGCCCTCAAGAGTGGCAAACTCCCTCACTTGAGATCGGAACTTGGCAAGGTGGCTGCCCAAAAGTGTACTGTACTCCAGTGGGTACCATCCCACTGTGGTATACCAGGAAACGAAACCGCAGATAAACTTGCTAAAAAAGGGGCAGAATGTGACCAGGAAGAGAATGCAGTAACATACTATGAGAAGAAAAGGGCCATCCAGGCTATTAGAAGTGAACAGAGTCTGGCCAGAGATGACTACCACTTACTTGACCGGCATGGGCAGGTCATTGTCCTACGTCTCAGGACAGGACATAACAAACTTAACCAGCATATGCACAGGCTTCGTCTAAGTAGTTCACCTTTTTGCCCTTGTGGGCTATGTGTGCAGACTACAGAACATGTCCTGCAAGACTGTCCCTTGTTCAGCCCATTAAGAAAGGAATACTGGCCCAGTGAGTCACCACTGTACACAAAGTTGTATGGGACTAAAAATATACTCATAAAAACAGTCAAGTTTATCACAAGAACCTGTCTGTCGGTGTAAATCAGAAAGCGAACACAAGAAGAAGAAGAAGAAGTTAGGCGTCTGGCATCTAACATGAAGGCGAACCAGGTCTAGTGTAAACACTAAAGGCCGCCTATTTCTCTGTCAGCTGTTTGTTGCCTTATATTTGTTTGGTTTGATGTACTTATTCCGGAAAACTAAAACATATTTTAAGTTCATTTAAAAAACTTTCTAAAAATGGTCATCCCTTAGTTAAATTCTCATCATTACTTCATAAATCCACATCTCCTGAGCAGTTACATATGCAGCTTTTTGAATTTGCTGACTATGCAAACTAATTTGCTGACTATGTGGATTACCTTCTACAAGTCATGTTCCTTGTGAAATATTCCTTTCTTTATTGAAAAAAAGATCATTCTTCTTCAAGAAAAAACTGCTACTATTTGAACTGCTTTTCATTGTGTCACATTAGGTAATTTAACGCTTTTAAAATACGAATCAATAGTTGTTTTATCTGTATCTAGGGGGAAATATCATATTTATACCGTTTTTACAATCTGATCGAAGACGCACCAAAATTACAAAATGGTTTATGTTGGCCCCAGTGTGAGCTCAAAGCATTCACAATTAAAGCCACACTGATCAGGTTGGCATCCGACAGGGCAAGTGTTAATAAACATTAGCAGCCACCCCAGTTCTTTCTGTGCATCTGTATATTTATCCATAGTATTTTTTTAAGACCATTGTGGGAGTAAGACAGGGTTGGATTTTCAATTTGTATTTGGAACAAATAATGAGAGAAACACTTGAAAATCATGAAACATCCAGATCTATTGGTGGAAGACAACTGTGTAATTTACGTTTTGCAGACGACATAGATCTCAAGGCTGGTTCTGAAGCAGAACTTCAAGAACTTACTACAAAATTAGAGACAGTTTATGGTAAATATAGCGTTGATAATAATGCAGAGAAAAGCAAGATTCTAGTAAATAGTCACAATAATCAAGTACCCGCCAACATACAGATAACAGGGGGAAAAAACTGAAAGAAAATGAAAACTTTTAATATCTTGGCTCTCAGCATAGGCACCAATGGCAGCTGTACCAAAGAGATCAAGAGAAGACTTGATATGGCAACAGTCGCGATGTCCCAGTTGAATACAATGTGGAAGAGCAAAATCATCATCGCAGTCAAGGTCAATATTTACAAATCACTGGTATTGTCTTTTATCTTATACGGGTGTGAGAGTAGGACTCTCGCTGTGGAAACGAAAGGAGGATTCAGGCTTTTGAATGTAAATACTACAGATGCATTTTACGAATTAGTTATTTAGAAAACAAAACTAATAAATATGTCAAAGACAAAATATACACATTTGCTGGACATAAGGATCCTCTCTTGGCAGTGGTGAAACGTCACAAGCTAGCTTGGCTTGGGCACGTGCTAAGACATGATTCGATTGCATACAAAGACTACTTCAAGGAACACGGAGGGGAGGGGGGATGTAGCAACCCTAGTTATCAAACTCCACTAAAGCCTTCAAGATCAAAAGACAAAACAAAAACAAAGCAAAAGCCTTTAAGATCTAAAGAAGCCAGTATATTACCTATGCAGGAAACAACACAAACACAGTTATAAGTTAAATTCGTGCGAACAAAAACAGTAAACAAAAGGCAAAAAAACGTTCTTATCCAGAAATGTATTAAGAATATAAAAATGCACATTAAGTAATGCAAACTGTATCATACGACATGTTCTGAACACATGGATAAATGTAACAAGGTGAAACAAAGCTAAACAAATGTCCGATGATTTCTAATGCAAGTTGGTAGATTCCTGGTGGTTTAAGTTTGTGGACTCTTCCAGTACATCTATGGCAGAGCTTATTGTTTTCTCCCACAGACTGAGCACAACTTTGCTAATGAGGTAGTTTATTATTCTCATGGATTTGACTTGTATACGTGTATGAATGGTGGCTGATGGGACATCATGGGGCAGAAGTGCGTTGGTTGCCGATGTTGGTCTCAGTGTGTCGTAATCACTGATTGCCAGGGACACGGTCACTAAGTAGGAGGACAAAAAATTATTAATTTAATCAAGCAGTAAAAACTAAAAACACACAATAATGGATATTTCAAACATTAAGCAAGTTATGGAGTTACATGGGAAACAATTAAATTGTGAGGACATACCAGATACAGCCTATGACGAATGTTACCAAAACATTGGGCGTTGTACTGAAAGTACAGTTTTGCTTGGCAAGGGTCAATTAATATCAAAAGTACTAATTTCGGCAGCCCTGGACTAGAAGTGCCAGGCTGGCTTCCATTGAAAACATTGCACACGAGGAGCTGAATAGACTAGTTAATTGCGAACCAAAAGTTCAAGTACTGTTTCCCCAAAAACAAAATTTAACGCAAAAATTAGAATTCCCAAGATTTTTCTGGATACAGTGGTACCTTCGTATACGTTCTCTTTGGTATGCGTTCAACCTGGAATAAGTCCTGTTTAGACGTGAGAGCTTTTGCTTTGCATACGACATTTGCTTGGAATACAAACTTGTATGAGTCTAAATTAGTTACGACACCGCGCGCTTTATTGTTAGCCTCAGTCGAGTAAAATCCGCTGATAGATGTCAAGGACTCTGCAAAGTTCAGACAAGCAGTATGATAATTTATCATTTTATAAACATTCTGAGGCGAAGGCAGAAGCAGAGTTCTTTAGGAGATTTTAGTTAAATTCAAACTTGATGAGCTACAGCCAGGTCCATGAAGAGAAAAGAGGCCGGAAAAAAAGACAGGAAAAACAACAACCTCATTTCAGATTTCTGCAACTTTATTGGAAGGGGACTACCAAATAAAAACATCTCCTCTTCCCTTCAAATTAGCATCCCAGGAGGTACTCGACTCTTCTCATTAGCATCCCAGGAGGTACTCGACTCTTCACATGAAGGTAAAGCAAGGTATAGTTATGTATTTTACCGAATTGCTTTAGTCATTGTGTAGCAGCAAGTCCTATGCAGAACGTCGCTCTCATCACGGTCTGCTTGAAAGAAACTCGGTCTCTCGCCAGTATTCTCGACTCGTTTTATTTCATATTCGAGTCACTCATATCCTGTGTCCATCTTCGTGTTGGTCGACCCCTGCCCCTCCTTTCTGGTACCATGCCTTCTGCTATTATTTTTTTTTTTCAATCTGCCATGGTGAATAAAATATGTCAGACCAGAGCCACAAGAGCCAATGGGAAAACAGAAGTAAGGTAGCAAACCGGGTGTTTATGTTCATATAGATGAGTCTGAATTAAATTAACTGAGTAAAAGTTAAATAACTAGTCTCTAGTGTAGACTTACATAGATATTGCTAAAGAATTTATATGTATATTATATTGAATTTCAGTTATACTTTATTTAGATGCTGGTGAGAACATATAAAGTATGATTATCTCATATTATGTTGATTCCGAACTTGTTTGATTTGTCATTTGTTCAAGAATATAACTTAGTGTGTTTATAAATAGCTAAAATTATTTATATGTTTGCTTATTAGCCAAGAATATTGTAACAGAATTATTTTCCTGTTGTAAATGTGATGCGATTGGAATATTCAATAATAATTAAAATATTTTTTTGTAAAATTAGGAAATTATTAATGTTTTCTAGGAAAGGAATGAACAATTTTGGCATGGAAAAAATAGTTTTACTGAACTATAATTTAATTGACTTGATTCAAGAACCGACATCACAGCACTCGGGGCACTCCCATAAGCGCTCCGTCCCCATCTTCAGCAGCCAGTGAGGAGTTCCGATACTAATGGTGCCAGTAGAATTGTGATTAAACTTCCATTTTGCCTTTCCTCTGAGCCTCGAGCATCTGTCAAAACCTTTCGTCACTCCCCCCTGCATCAATCTCACCACACTGTGGTGATCTATCTGCTCCTCCAAACTTTACACGCTCTTTTAACAAGGCCCTAACCACGTCTGCCTTATCATACTTCAGTATTCCATCAAGTTGTGCAGAGCCAGCCAGTCTGTCCGAACTATAATTAGAACAATACTACTCAGTATATATTGTGGGTATTACCATGTCAAATAATATGGGTATTAGACGATATGTAGTTACCTTCAGAATGTACACTAATTATGAATATATCTGCATAAAAGCAAATATTCTTATAAACACATGTATATATGTGAATGTATATATATATATATATATATATATATATATATATATATATATATATATATATATATATATATATATATATATATATATATATATATATATATATATATAGTGTGTGTGTGTGTGAGAGAGTGTGTGTGAGAGAGAGAGAGAGAGAGAGAGAGAGAGAGAGAGAGAGAGAGAGAGAGAGAGAGAGAGAGAGAGAGAGAGAGGAAGAGTTTAATGTGAGGTATTGCTTTAAATATGTGAAACTAAACATGTGTTTTGAAAATTATATCTCATACATATTTCTTCCACTCAGAGAGTCTTTCAAGCTATTCTGCTTAACAGATACACACCAGTTTGTTTAATTTTTCTAGAATATGAAGTGTCATTTTGACATTGATGTGTTTATGTATACCGTGATAGCTTTCTTACTACAAATTACAAAAATGTATGTCATTTATTGTTCTTCTCTCTGAGAAAAATATCTTTTGGCGATTCTTCATTTAACCTCGTTTTTACACTTTCTATCGGCTATTATTAATCACCCCAAGTACCTGGCAACACTGAATACTGGTCTCTTTTACTTTCATGTTGCATTTCTACTAACTTCATGATAACCATCAAACGTGTTTTTATACCAGTTAAATCGTATTCAATAGAAACAAATATATGCAGAAAGATCTTCAGTAAGATTGTCCAGTTATTCATAGTACACTTTCTATCATAATCACAACCCAGATCAAAGCAAAATGTAGAACATTACAAATTATACATTGATTATATAATAATTACATGATATATACATTAACATATAAAATAGAAATAGATACTCTGAGAACTCAGCTAATACTATATATCCCAATTATTGACCTGAGATTTAAACGGGATATTTTTGCAAAATTACTAATACTTGTAGAAAGATGTAGAACGTAGGCAGAGACGTAATGGCGTGTCTGCCTCAAGTCTACGTCTTTCCAGATGAAATTATTATACAATGCTATAGAGAGCATAGGAATCACATCCCATAAAGAAGCCAAGACCAGGGTAGGTAGAGAAAGAAATGTTCCCACTCAATTGGACACGCAAAGCTAGGGACTTTTGCTGAGACTATGTGTTGTTCCAGCGCCGGTAATCGAACCAGCTGCTGAGGTAAAAGCCGGAAATCTTAACCGCTGGATGAAATGATCTAAACCAGTGTTTCCCAAACTGTTCTTAGCCGCGGCGCTTTTTTTTTTTTTTTTTTTTTTTTGATGAAAATTTCTCAACGGCGCCCTAACCTAAGTAAAAGTATGACTATTCATATATAAGAGATTTTTAAAAAAAACTCGTGTATCTTTGAATGTTTCGCGCCGCCCCTGTGAAGAGGTCGCGGCTTCCCTGGGCGCCGCGGAGCACAGTTTAAGAATTACTGATGTATACTAACGTATTACCGTCTGCCATGCTGCTGCTGAAGTCTAGGTTTATGCATGACGTCAGCTGTGACAAACAAGAGGTGGTTAAATTTGTAGGGATCGTCTTTCGTCCCAGCAGCGCCCCGAAGTCTTCAAGAATCAGAAAACTGGTTGTGCGGTTGTGCTTGTGAATGTCAAACACCTCCTGTCTGGAACAAAGGGTTGAAACTTTTTACAACCAAAATATTTTTTTAAAATTTTAGTCTCCTCATCTCCTTGTTGGATTAAATTTTTGAGAGGTAAGGAACCAACACCCTGCACGCACATAAACTAGATCTTAAAAACGTTCTGCATGCAAAACTCAATTTCTTGCAGGGACAAAAAAAGAGATTAAAGACCAGAAGTTGACGAACAGCCAGAGCTTTCAATTGGTTACAGACTATGAACGCTAATAGGGTAAGAAGAACAATAAAAAAAAATCGGATTGCGAATGACACACCATCAACGAGAAAATAAGAAATGCAGAATACGAAAGAAGTAAACAAATAAAAGTAGAAACTAAGAAGAAACTCCACAGGGGAGCATGCGCAGCAGGGGTCTACCAATCATTAGTAGAAGTGATCACTCGCCCCCAATTGTTTCGGCCCACGAGCTCCTAGACAATTTCAGAGAGGCCCGCCTGAGTTCATGAGGCTCAGGGTTGATCTGCTTCTGCTGCACGTATTACCTGATGTTCTCGGACAGGGACAAGACGAAAATGGTGACTGTGCAACGGGTACTGTGAGATTTGAAGTTTATTTACTTAGAAAATACAATAAAGAAATTATAACAGAAAGAATAGTGCAATTACACACACACACACACACACATATATATATATATATATATATATATATATATATATATATATATATATATATATGTGTGTGTGTGTGTGTGTGTGTGTGGTTGTGTGTGTGTGTGTGTATATATGGTGTGTGTATATATGCATTCAGGGCAAATGCGTATATGTTTGGCCCGATAGGTTCCAGTGCACAACATGTCTAGGTAAAGAGTATTGTCACTATTGTTGTCAGGTTTTTTTTCGTAACAATAAAACTAGAAGATGGAGAGGACATGGGGTAACCTGCATGTGATAGCAAAAGTTCAGACTACTAGGCGTGAGGTAGCTGAAGATAGACAATCCACTAGGGGACTCAGTCAATCCATGAGCAGGTCCTTTGCAGAAAGTCGCTCTCTTCACAACATGCCTACAAGTATCTCTTTCTCTATCCAATTATTCAGCCCTATGTGCTCTCATAGCCAATGATTTTTCAATGGCCTGTATCCACCTACATGGAGGTCGACCTATGGCTCGTTTTTCGGTAACTACACCCTCCATCGGCGTTGTCTCAGACCATTATTGCGCTTGACATGTTCAGGTGACCCAGCTTTCAGGAAAGAATGCCGTTTATCTCCTTGATGTTCAGGTCAGGCAGGACGTTTTTCTTGTTCTTGGTCTAATATATTCTAAGAGATTTTCTATAGCATTTCGGTTCAAAAGCTCCGATTTTCTTCAAAGACTGAGCGAGAGTCAACTACTCATATCCATAAGGTGCCACGTGAAAGATGTATGTTCTTAAATTGAAGGTTGGATGAAATGGATCTTTTGTGTGTGGGGGGGGGGGGAAAGGGGGGGGGGGTCGTAGCTAAGTCATTAAGCATTTTACCTTGAACTTATGAAATGCACGCACACAAAAAGACTCAGTACTATCAAGATTATGACAGCAATGGACAGAGAACAAAGAATGCTGTTCACAATGTTCCAGCATGTGATACTGTCGGTGATAGATCATGGACCTGGCATGCTTACCATATCAAAGAGTCCGCTGATGAAACTTGAACGCATACAGAATGAAGCAATGAGGGTAATTCTGGGATGTACAAGAGATACCCTGGTAGTATGTATGTGATATGTACTTGCACTGCCTACTATTGCAGATAGGCTCTATGTTCTGCAAGCAAAGTCATATCTCAGAGTAGCTTCACACAAGAAGAAGCTCCTGCATGAAACCCTGGGTAGAGCTAAGGTGCACAGTCTGAAAAGAGAAAGGTCTTGAATGGCGCAAGCTGAAGAAACAATCAAACTTGTGTGCAGGCTTGATCAATTTGTGCGAGGCGAAGAGTGGGTCAAAGTGTCAAAGTTTCAAAATTGTGTAGGGTTCTTATCACTTTGACTTGTGAGTGCAGGAACTAGCCAGCTGCCGCTGCAGAATCAGAAGTTCAACAAATGATTGATGACAATTCCCACCCAAGTGATGTGATTACCTATACAGATGGCTCTGTGTTGAGGGACAGGCGAAGTGCATGAAGTTCATAGGAAAAGCAAATGGACGTCGCTTAGTGCAACAAAGCCTGCATATATCGCAACGTATAGTTTGAGAATGGAGGTGGAGGCAGTCACTGCTGCATTCCGCTGGCTTGAGAATCATCTGTACAGACATGCCGTGATTGAAATTGACTCACAGAGCATGTTGAGAAAGGTGGTGAAGGCATGCTCCATGCAGAGTGGCAAGCATCACTTCTAAGGTCCCGGGTAATTAGCATCCTTTGAATATTCTTTCCAGTTATGTCGGTGTGTTGGGAAATGAGCAGGCAGATAGACTGGCCTATTCTGCACCACTTTGTGGTGAACTGAGGTATGACAAATTAGATATGACGGCACCTGGGAGCTAGTGAAAGTGCGGAAGCGCAAATAGATCATTACGGTCTGAGGATACTGGCACTGCGAGGAGTTACCAGGGGCCTATTCTCAACACTCAAGTGAAAGGCGAGACAGATTTACAATCAGACAGTTACTGGTGCCATCGGAATCAGAACTCTTTGTTTGCTGCTGAATATAAGGACGGAGCGCTCATTGGAGTGTCCCGAGTGCAGTGATGTCGATTCCTAATTCAACATTCGCTATTCAACCTTGCACTCTGTTGGTCATTGATTCGGTTACAGGGCTGTGTCGCTCAGTTCACTAATGCGATTCTTTCTGAGATTCCCAGAGATTGTCGCTTGAGGTAGGGAGATTGTACTTTGTTCGACGCTACTGACAGGCACCAAGGCACGAAGCTGTTTTACGTATACAGACTGAGCAATAGGAAAATAAGAAGCAAAGAAGTAGATCATCTTAGCGCCTTTATTATGTGTCTCAGTCTCTGTGTGTATGTGTGTGTCCGTGTGCGCGGGGGGGGGGGGGGGAGAGGAGGGGGCATTTTTTCTCTCTCTTTATGTGTCTGTCTGTGTGCGTGATTGTATGGGTATGTGTGTGCATGCGTCTATTTCTCTCTCTCTCTCTTTCTCTCTCTATCTCTCTTTCTCTCTCTCTCTCTCTCTCTCTCTCTCTCTCTCTCTCTCTCTCTCTCTCTCTCTCTCTCTGTTTGTATGTATGTTTGTATTATTATTTTTTTTACATACATCTAATAAAATAAATCACAGCTGTCTTACATTCTGGGATGTATCCTCTCTAGGTTGCTGGGGGTCTTTAGGAATTCGAAGATTTTAGACTTGCTGGGACTACAGTAGACAGTGAATGACTGCTCGCTGATCACTTCCATGTTCAGATAGCAGGCCAGGATTGCAACCAGAATTACAACAGCTGCATAGAGGAGCATCTCTGGGCTGTCTCTGTGGAGGAACGATACAAACAATTTGAAACAATGTTTCCCTGTTGTAAATCTGAACAAACAAGTCACAAATAATAGATTGCACAATTTATTGTTTGGCATATTTCGCTGCATATCGTCAGAACGCTAAGATTTTTTAAAGTGAAAATAGGCAGTTATATTTGATCGTTGTTTAATTTGTACTTCAGTTAGAAGGGATTTACTTATCTGCTTCATTTATGTAATTGTTACTGTAGTTTGCACCTGACGAAAATATGCGAGGTAATAAATTGCGCAATCTGTTGTTTGTGTCTTCTTTGTTTAAAAAAAATTTGGTTTCTGTTTAGAAAAACGTATCTCAAATGTCGGTGTTTGTGGCCTATGCACTGCGAACGCACTTTGTAGTTCTGAGGTGCCAGGCTCGATCCAAGTTTCGGGCGAATTGGCAGGAGACAGCCTTTCGTTGGGTTTCATAGTGGTATCGAGAAATGAGAGTTCTGTGGGTAATATGAAACTGAATTAAAATCTCTCTCTCTCTCCCTCTCTCTCTCTCTCTCTCTCTCTCTCTCTCTCTCTCTCTCTCTCTCTCTCTCTCTCTCTCGTCTTGATCCTCTGGTGCTTTGTGGTATAGAGGCGAAGTATTATTTGCAGAAAATTACTTGTTTGTGATTGGGGATTTCCAGGAACTCTTATTGCCTCTGACCATCGTTTGTATGGTTGGCCTCTTCTTCGCTTCCTGCCTAGTCTGTACATCATTGCTTGATGTGGTACACTGTTTGCTGATATCCCCGTTATATGGCCAAACCATTTCACCTGTTCTCTTTCAATCCTTCGGATTTTCTCATTCCTGATCTTATTTCTTAACATTATTTTGACAGCCCTTTGCAAAAGTCTTATTTCAAATAGTTTTCTCGTGTGTGGTTTTTTTTTTTTTTTTCATTGCACATGGCTGGCAAGAAGATTTTGTAACAGTCTTCTTTTAGTTTTCACTCACATATGTTAGTTTCCTAGTACTGGTGCCATTTGAATGTAAAATTGACAAATGAAATCATAGCCCCTCAAGTTGGTTACAAAATAAGGAATTACTTACTTCCAGGTCTTTGCAAGAGTGCATCAAGTGTGCATATTACGACAAACCTGAGGTATCAAAGCGCCGATTGTCCCCTTTCATGGTAACCAACTCTCTTAACTTCGTCTGTTGTGTACCGGACTTCAACACTGCGAGGTACGCTTGCTACTGTTCCTGGTTACTTTATCAAATTGTTGTTTTGTGTTCTTTGATGTGTTGTTAAATTAAAGATTACGAAATTGGTGATAAACGAAAAATAAAGCTTGTAATGACACATCATTATCATGAAGCAGATCCTTAGCAGAACTTTGCTCTTATCACGGTCTGCCTGAAAGAAACTCGTTCTCGCGCCAGCTCTCCTGCCTCATGCACTTTCATACTCAAGGAATCACATATCCTATGCCCATCTTCGTGTTGTAATGACGATGTAGGGGAAAATAATCGTAATAAAGTACTGGACTCTGGGCTAACGGGAAAAAAACGATTGCTTCGGAGTTGTAAGTCGAGAAAGGTACAGTTGGAGGCTGAAAGACAAATCAGGTAGAAATTGAAAAGTAGAGTGCTGTCCAATCTAGTTGAAACTGGTATGTATTGATAGGCACTTATAGAAAGAAGTAGAAACACAGAAGGACATACCACACAACATAAAAATCGAAAGCTATAGTTATCAAGGGTGCAATGGATTCTGTCACCTGCAGATGACATCATCGCCTCGCTGCAGAAACAAGTCTACTAATACGCATGGCCAATTAAGAACCCCGAATAAAGTTTGTCTTTGTTATCCATGACTATCGTACAGTTTGAGTCCACAACAACGGAATGCGGACATAATTCGCCCAAAACACTGAAATAACACTATAGGTTACAGACACTTTAATTAACAAAGCATCAATTGATTAACAAACACAACAACAATCTACCACCTCAAGCCCCCCCCCCCCCCAGTCTGTTTATTTATGTGTAAAACGCACTTTCCAGTGGCACGACGTTTTTGTTATTCAAGCACTTTCAGTCACATCAGGTTGTGAGTGCAGGAACTAGCCAGCTGTTGCAGCAGAATCAGAAATTCAACTAAATGATTAATGACTATTCTCGCCTTAGCGCTGTGATTGTCTATACAGATGGCTCTGTATTGAGAGCTAGACGAAGTCAATTGGGGTTCATAGTACAAGCGAATAGACGTTGCTTAGTGCAACAAAGCCTGGCAAATGACATCACAATGTCTAGTCTGAGAATGGAGGTGGAGGCGGTCACAGCTGCCTTCCGCTAGATAAAGAATCAGCTGTACACACATTTTATAGTTGTAACTGATTCACATAATATTTTGAGAAAGGTTGAGACAGGCATGCTACGTGCAGAGTAGGGAGCATCGCTTCATAGATCCCGGATAGTTAGCGTCCTTTGGATATTGTCTCCATGTAATGCCGGTGTACTGGGAAA